GCAACAGATTCGTGTGCCCGGCTGCCCGCCTGGAGTGTCAGTCTAGGAGTCGAGCCTTTGTTCCTCGCTCAGGCACTGGAGGTTTCTGTGGAGAAGCAGACCGGACGAGGTGGGGGGGAAGAGTGTGTGTGCCCTGCCTGGATGAGGCAAGAACAAAGGTGCTGGGCAGGCAGGCAGGCGGGCAGCCTGCAAGGCGGGTTTACCTGCTTGCCCCGGTAGAAAAGCCTCTGCAGGCCTGGCTCCACGTGGAATAGCTCCTGGATCTTCTTTCTCAGCTCCTCCACCTTGGTCAGCCTGGACAAGGAGTCCACGGTGTGGGCCACCTTCCCGTCCATGGTGCGAACCTGGATCCACATGGTGCCTGCTGGAGCTGCGAGGATGAGGGAGCAACACCCCTGGTCAGTTCTGCCGTCAATAACACCACCATGGCTGTGCCATATTCGGGTCATCCTTGCTATTGTCCAGACTGTGGACACCAGGTAACTCTTGGAATGCCCTCCCAGCCCCTTATTCCCTATAACCTGCCACAGCTGGCCCAGGCCCCAGGCCCTGAATTAAGAGATAATGCGTTAATCAGTAGCACTGGTGGAGGATTGAGGAGGGACGGGAAATTAGGGGAGAGTAAAAGGCACCTTGAGCTACTCAGTCAACGAACCCTGCCTTTCACAGGGGAGAAAACAAAAACACACCAGGATACAGAAGAGAAGGGGCACACAGTCAAACAGTGAGGGGCCGAGTTTGTTCGTTCGTTCATTCATTCATTCATTCCCTGGATGAACACTGACGCGAGAGGGAAACCCAAAAGTCCCGCTTTTGACTGAAACTTCCGAAGTCCCAGGGAACTCAACTAAGTGGGACCGAAGGGGAAGAAACCCACTCGAGACCCGGGAGCTGGGGACCCCGTGTGCCCGCGGACCCCCACTGCACCCCCGACCCGCGCGCGCGCTTGCGCGACGCGGCGGGCCCCGCTGTGGCCATGGCAACCGGCCGCCCCGTCCCGGCCACCCCCGCGCGGGCAGCGCTACTCACTTCTGCCCCACGGCCGCCCGGAGCTCCAGCCTGCGTTTCCCGGACCCCGACGCACGGCCCCGTAGCCCCTCTTGTTCTCTCGCTCGCCCGCGCGGGCCACGCCAGCGAGCCCACGCCCACCCCCCACCGCCGGGACGGCCGAGGGGCCCGCGCGCCAGGTCCCGCCCCCTTCACTTGAGCCGCCCCACTGACTGGCTCCGCCGCGGTCGGCCGCCCCGCCCCTCTAGTTCCTCATTGGCCCAGACGCGCCCGGGGAACTAAGGGCGCGCGAAATCGGGCTCGGGCGCGACAATTGAATCGCGGGGCGCCCCGCGCGCAGGCGCGGAGCCTGACATCCTCCCCCGCGGCTCGCCGGGCCCTCCCCCACCGAGCCGGCGCGACCCCCGCGGGGCGCCTGGGATGTTCCGCTCGCTCCTGCCAGAGCCTGGGCTTCCGGGGCGACTTCTAAGGGCCGACAGGGTTGGGGGCAAAGCCGGAGACCGCGTGTAGGGTAGCCCTGGCGCGGGGAAAATGTACTCCCGTGCTGGCAGAGCGTCCCGGAAAGTTTTGCAAAGTCAAGGCGCCGGGTGCGCCGAGTCCTGCCCGCCTCCCCCCGTCCGCGCCCTGGCCCGGGCTGGCACCCCAAACGGCCTGACCGCTCACGATCCACTCGCCTGCTTGCGCGCTGGCCCTTCTGAGGATGGCAGAGGAGCCGCCTGTGTGGCCAGGACCCTGCGCAGACGTGTGTGCGATCCCGAGCGCCCGGACGGCCACCACTGCCCGCTGCGCTGCCAGCTGCTCTGATTTTTTTCCCGCGAAAACTTGGCGTTTGGGAGTTGCGGGGCCACAGGAGGCCGCGCCGGGGGCGGGCGCCTGCCTGGTGATTGGCCGCCTCAGTGGCGGGAAGCAAGAAAGGGGGTGGGGGGCGCCCCCGCCTCTGTCCACCCCCCCCTCCGCCCAGCGGGCCACGGCCCCGCCCAGCCCTGCGCGCTCTGCTGGGCGCGCCCAGTGTGCAACGGGGCCGGTGGCGGGACCTGGGCCCCCTCATCATGGGTGCTCTCCATGAGCCCTAAGGATCACCCCCAAGGCAAAGACCCCCAGGGTAGACACCCCTGACCTTCTAAGTCTGTTCCTTCAGACCCTCTTACCAGGCATGCACTGACCAGTTGGGCAGGAAGACCAGAATCAGTGTAAATTATACAGGAGAATTTGGGGGTATCCCCCCAGAAGACCTCCTGCACCCCGATGACGGGCCTGATCGCCCCAGCTCGGTTTCCTTGCGCCAGGGCCCTCCAGCTCTCCCCACCCTACCCACCCGCAGGGCTTGTTTGCTGGTTTTTCCCGCCTCGTTTTCCCGCCTTCTCCTAGCTGTCCAGGCGGGCAGGGCTGCCCTCCCCCCTCCGCCCTGCCTGCTCTGCTCTGACCAGTCCTGGCGGGCACACAGTGACCCATTCTGGGCACCTACAAAATGCCTGAACAGGGTGTTCAGAGCTGGGGGCCCAAAAGTGGGCAAGGCCCACCCTGTTGGTGGTCTCCGAGAGGTTAAATTCTTATCTGGGGAGACCAGAAAGAAATGAATCAATAAAGCAAATCATTTCAGATACCACACGTGCCATGAAGACAGGACAAGAGCTGGAGAGTGACCAGCAGCCATGTGGGAGGGCGGGGAGAGGAGGCAGTCTGGTTGAGGTGGAGAGGTGGGCCTCTCTGGACAGATGACATTTGAGCTGAGATCTGAGATGAGAAACCAAGGACAGACGGATCGAGGCGGAAAGAGCAAATGCAGAGGCCGGAAAAGGCTTAGAAATGGACAGAGAGCCGGGCAGATGCAGTGAAAGGGAGGCTGGGCGGGAGCGAATGAGGTCAGAGGGGTGTCATGTAAGACCTCACAGGCCACCAGGAGGACTTTGGTCTTTCTCTGGAGAGCAGTGGATAGGGTGGGAGGGCTGTGAGCTGAAAACCAATGAGCTCCAATGTGTGTTTTCACAAGGTTTCTCTGGCCACACATAGAGTTCCTTCTATCTTGGCTCTGGTATTTCTGCTTTTATTTCTCCCAGCGGTAGACAGATGAATGGCCCCCAAAGATGTCCACGTCTTAATCCCTGGGATCTGTGAATATCATAACTTTCATGGCAAAAGGGACTCAGCAGATGGGGTTAAACTAAAGATTGTCAGATGGGGAGATTATCCTAGACTATCTGGGCTGGCCCAGTGTCATCATGAGGGTCCTAGTAAATGAAAAAGAGTGGCGAGAGGGTCAAGTCAGAGAAGTGACAATGGAAATAGAGGATGGAATGATGAAAGCAAAAGGCAAAGGATATGGGAAACCGCTAGAAGCTAGAAAAAACAAGGGACAGATTCTTTCCTAGAATTCTAGAATGTAATCCTGCCAACACCTTGACTTTAGCTCCATTTCACACTTCGGACCTCCAGAACTGTAAGAGAACTCAGTTGTCTTGTTTGAAAGCATGGAATTTGTGGACGTTTGTTACAGCAGCCATAGGAATGAATATACTCCAATCACAAAGTCGAGATGCTCCTATTAATTTCCCCCCACCTTCAGGACATCGCCGACACAACTGATCTCGTTTATCGAAACTAAGCTACCAGCTACGTGGTGACCATGTTGCAGATGTGAGCAGGTAGCCAGGCCTCCCCAACCTTGTGAGGCAGATGAGATCTTCCATACTGACAACATCTCTGACAGGAACCCAGCCCTTTTCTGGCAAGAGCATAGCCTCTCTCTGTACCTGCTGTTGTCAAAACTCAGCATGGCTGAAAAAGAAATAGACTCTATATTCCTTGTGTACACTTGGTACAGGGCACACAGTCCAGCCTCCTTGGATATCTGAAGTCAAGCAACACAGAAAGAGGTGTCTGGTTTTCCCTGCAGAAAAGACCTTGAGCAGTGGTGATGAGGGGCCCCACCCAATCTCTCTACTCATTTCAAGAAAGTCAGAGGGGTTGCTTGGGTTAATTAACAACCATGAACAAGAAACTATGCCAGGCATCTTTAAAAGAAGCTTACCAACCAGTTGGAAAAGCAAAATGTTGATGTCCACAAAAGACATCACATCAAAGACAGCAAGATATGACATAGTCATGAGGTCTGCCAGAGCCTGGAGAACAGACACTTCCTAAAGCTTCTTCGGTTTTGCTGTCCCTCCTACTTAGGCACCAGCCCACGTGCAGATCAGGCACCCTGAGGGTGCAAAGGGCTTCAGTTTCTCTTTTGCAAAATGATATGCACTTGACAATCATTAAGTCACTGAACAGACTTTAATTGCCCTCCCTTGTCTGCACCAGGCCCTGGGTCCAGCAAACCAAGTCCCACCCTATAGGGACTTCTTGTGCAGTGGAGGAGCAGGAGGAAAGACAGTCATCAGTTGTGCAGGGAGATGGTGCTTTGTGATGGTGTCCATGATCACGTGGAGCCCAAAGTGCTCTGAGCATCTCCAAGACACAGCAAATCCCATGTCCTAGCTATCGATATAATTTTCCTTCTAATATACATTAATAGAAATAGAGAGCTATTAAAGACAAAATGATTGGGACTTTCCTGGTGGTCCAGTGGTTAAGACTCCACTCTGTCACTGCTGAGGTCACAGGTTCAATCCCTGGTCAGGGAACTAAGATCCCACAAGCTGAACGGTGTAACCAAAAAAAGAAAGAAAAAAAAAGTGAAAATGATTATCTGTATAGGACCCAGCATCCGTGTGTGAACCCTGAGGAGGGTGTACAGGCCACATGTGGGGGCCATCCGATGGGGCAGAAGATACCCCTGGGCTCATCCCCTCTCCATCTGTAAATGAAGCTTATGATGCTTATCTCACCAGAGAGCCTGGGAGAATTCTTCCTATCCAGGCCCCAGACATCTGGCAAGATGACAGTTGTTCCCTGTATGCCAGGAATATTGCTATCTTGTGGTTTTATTTGTTTGCTGTTTCCTAGAAAAAAGAGGTCAGGCTACCATTTCATCAACCAGTGAGGCCTTTGGGATTCCCACACTGCCGCCCACCCCCAAAAACCTTGCCCCCACCAATCCTGGCCATTGGGAACCCCTTCCCAGAACCCTGACTGGCTGATGTCACAGACAAATGACCTCACCGCGACCGAGGATCTCTGTGACATGGGGGAGGGGGAAGGATGTTTCTCCGTCACCCCAACCCCCCATGTCTGTGGTGAAGTCGATCGAATTAGTGCTGCCCAAGGATGCAGTCTACCTGGCTGGCTGCATCATCGAAGGACAGGTGGTCCTAACTCTGAACAGCACCCTGGTGGACCCCATCGTGAAGGTGGAGCTTGTGGGAAGAGGTTACGTGGAGTGGAATGAAGAAACTGGGGCGTCCCGCGATTATAGCCGAGAAGTTATTTGCAACAACAAGGCTGACTACGTGCACAAGACAAAGACATTCCCAGTGGAGGGTAAGGACTGATATGACTGCCAATGTTAGCCAGAATAGGAAACCAGGGTCTGGAAGATAAACACATCTATCAGTAAATCAACAAACCCCCAGGGATATGAGAAATGGGCAGAGGCCTGGCTCCTGTGGTCACAGGGGAAGAGAAAGGAGGGAGAGGACTAGGAGAGACCCTCGAGGGAAGCAGTGACAAGCCCCCAGCTCTGCCAGATTCAGATCTAAAGTCTGGACAGACCTCAGGGAGCCTGGGCTGCCAGGGAACTATAGGTCCTTTCCAAAATGAGTGTTTCTGGGTAGTCCACAGTCAATCAGAATGCTTGGCCAATGCTTGTTTGAACAAAGTTTCATTTCAGATTTTTTTAAAAAAATTTTAGATAGGATAGCCGGGGAAGTTGTCACCAAAAGACTATGGAGCTCAGATCTAGTGATGGAAGGGGTCCCTGCTTGCAGATACCCAGATATTGTTTGCGCATTAGTTGCTCAGTCTTGTTCAACTCTTTGTGATCCCATGGACTTTAGCCCACTAGGCTCCTATGTCCATGGGATTTCCCAGGCAAGAATACCGGCATGGGTAGCCATTCCCTTTTCCAGGGGATCTTCCTGACCCAGGGATCGAACCCAGGTCTCCCACATTACAGGCAGATTCTTTACCGTCTTTGCCACCAGGGAAACCCATCCAGATACTGCTGGACCTTAATACTCAACAATCAGGCCGCCTCTCTCTGTCCCAGTTAACCCACCTGGAAAATGGGAACAGAAAGAAGTCCTGCCTCCTGAGATTGTCTTGAGGACTTGATGATTTAATGGCATGTCTCAGGCTCAAAATAGCAGGGGTTATAGAGTAAGTACTGAATAGGTGTTAGTTCTTTCAACCAAAACAATTTTTCAGCCCCTCAACCCCACAGCATCGGGTACCACCCTTCTCCATTTCCAAGGGAAGCATCGTTTCCCCTCAGGAGCATCAACCTCAATTCATTTACTCCACAAACAAACATGTATTAAGCACCTACTGTGCACAACAACCATGCCAGGTACCAGGGATGCAGCAGCAAAGAAAACAGAAAAGGTCCCTGGCATCCCTGGGGTTGCTGTCCGACTGGGAGGACACACTCATAAGAGGCTTTGGGGGAAATGTAAGAAAAAATAAAACAGGGAGATCACAGAGATGAGAGGGCGGTGTGAGTCCCTCCCTGGCCCACCGTCATCATCACTCAGTCAATCTGCTGTGTGCTGTGCAGTGAAGGCCAACCGCTGCCAGGGCAGGGAGATTTGCCTGCCTTGGGCCCCAAGATGTGTTGGTTGAATAAATGTGTGATCGAACCTGCAGGCCAGACCTTCAGTTTCCCAGGCCCTGAGTAGGGGTGAGCAAGTTCCGGTGGGTAGATTGGGGTGACCAACACTCACCCAGAGCTTCCATCTCCAGCCCAACTGAGGTCTGATATTTATGAGCCTTGGCGTTTTGGATCCCTAAAACTCAGAGCTAGCTCAGGGACAGAGAGGCCAGATCCAGAAAAAGCTAACTGCCAAAACAATAAAGAAAGAGAAGGGGGGGCGGGATTCTAGAACCTTCTGATGCCATTGGTGTGTTTTGCTTTCAGATAATTGGTTAAGTGCAGGCAGCCACACCTTTGACTTCCATTTCAACTTACCTCCCAGGCTTCCTTCCACCTTCACCAGCAAAATCGGCAACATCTTTTACTTCGTGCAGGCCTTCTGCATGGGTCGGGAGCACATTCTAGCCAAGAAGAGAATATACTTGATGGTTCAAGGCACTTCCTCAATTTTCCACGCAGAAAAATCATTGCAGGTAGTGGGGAGCAAGGGGGAGCAGGGGTAGGGGCTTGGCCTCAAAGTTCCCAAGAGGTAGGGGATGGGGCAGGAGCGGCCAGGGGATAGGGAAGGCCCCAACCCGGAAAAAGAAGGGAAGGTGTTGGCTGCTCCTCCAGCTCAGGAGTTTTGCAAAAAGGGGAATCAGAAACCAGGGCAGGAACTAAGCCAGTGGCTCTCAACTGAGGTGATTCTGTCGCTGCAGGGGACGCTGAGCAAAGATGTCTGATGACATGTGTGGTTATCGCAGTTGGGGAGGGGGATGAGTGCCATCGAGGGGGTGGGGGCCAGGGAAGCTGCTCAACCACAGTGCCCCTCCCAGAGAATGGCCTGGCCCATGAATGTTCTTGACCCCAGGGTAGGTAGGTCAAGAGTGAGCAGATGCCCTGCTCGGACCCCCTGACTGAGTGTCCCAGGTGTTCAGTGAGTCTCTGGGAAAGGATAATGGAGATGGTACCCTCTCCCCACCAAGAAGCACAGCAAGGGGTGCCCTCCAACCAGGGAAGGAGGGGTCTGGCAGCGTCGGTCACCTGAGCGGAGGAGGCTTCTGTGTGGCTTCCAGAGGCCAGGTGCAGAGGCGGAAGTAAGGGAGGGTGGAGTTCCATTGGCCAAAGTCACCACCTCCCTGTCATCAGAGCATGGTGGCTGAGAGCGCCGGCATTTTAGTTCTCAAGGTCCAAGTTAAAATCCCAACGTCCCAACCTACCTGCTGTGTGACCCTCTGCAAGTGGTGTGGCCTCTCTGTGCCATTTCCTCATCTGTCACTTGGACACAGAGAGGGTGCCTGGCCCCTAGGTCTCAGGAGGAGCAGTCAGTGGACTTCCTGCAGGTTCAGGGCCTGGAATGGTGCTCGGCACTGGTGTCCAGGGCAGCCTCAGAATATTTATGCCCCATCGATCCTTTTTTTTCTAAGATTTTTTTTTTATGTAGACCATTTAAAAATTCGTTATTGAATTTGTTATAATATTGTTTCTGTTTTATGTTTTGCTTTTTTCTGACCTTGAGGCATGTGGGATCTTAGTTCCCCAACCAGGGATTGAACCCCAGTCCCCGGCATTGGAAGCACAGATTTTTAACCACTGGCCCACCAGAGAAGTCCCAGGTGTAGTCTTATCTGTGTAGTAGGGAATCATCTCTAGCCTGGCCAACCTCAGGGGAGGAGGATTCCAGGGCAGGTAGGTGCTTAGAGGGGTGGATCAGAGGTGAGCAGATCTGAGCTAAAGGCCAGTCTGGCTACCTGCTTTCTGGGTGACCTTGAGCAGACTCTGGCCCTCCCTTGAGAGCTAATCTAGAGTGCAGGGTGCACAAAGCAGAAATTGGAGTGAAATGCTGTTGTGGGGTCAGACCTGGACTGAGGTCTCTGCTGCCGGATGCTTCATTAGCAAATGGCCTTGGGCAGTTAACAGCACCTCCTAGAACCTCGATTGTCCTGATCTGTATGATGGGTATAATGAAAACAACACTTTCCTCGATCATGAGGGTCATGAAGCACCCAGCAGGATCGGTACACATCAAGGACTCCTGGTACATGGGAAGAGCTCAGATCGCTACTACGGCAACAAAGGAGTTATTGCAGATCCATCTTGAGAGGATGAAAATATTGTGTTTTTTCAACTACTCAGTACTCTTTTAATCAGTTTGGAGAGGGCAGGGTGAGGGCAGGAGCTGGTGAATCAGGGCAGAGGCTACTGCTCTGGTCCAAGCAGGGGCAGAGACCTGACCCCCACAGTCTGTCCTTTTCAGATCAACTGAAAGGAGTCAGGTGATGACCCGTCTGTGTCTTCCAGGGCTCCCACCTCCCTCGGAGTAAAAGCCCACGACCTCCCCCTGGCCCACAAGGCCCTGCACGACCTGTCCCGTCCCCTCCCTGCCTTCCCCCTCCCCCCTCTCTCCCCCTCTCACTCTGCTCCAGCCACATGGGCCTGCTTGCTGTTCCTCCAACATCATCCTGCCCCAGGTCCTTCGTGTTGTGTGCCCGCTGCCCAGAACCCTGTGATAGGATTTTCCAATCCCTCCCCTTCCTCCTTTAGATCTTTGCTCGGAAACTACATCTTCAGTCACCTGCTTCAGTAATGGCCGGACGAACTGCCACAACCCCCACAGAAGGCAATTCAGCCATATCTATCCAAATGAAAAGGAACACGCACTTTGCCCCAGCCATTTCATTTCTCTTCTGGAAAATTCTCCTACCACTGTCATTTCATTTGTGTGATAGGACCTCTGCATGCATTGCCTGGGAGGCCAGAAACTTTAAGGTAACCACTTAAATGTTTGTTGCAAAGGGAATTAAAGTAACAGTTCATAGTCAAAGGTCAACTCTATAGATAAAGCAAAGAAAGAGAGAGCAAGACACAGCCAGAGACAAAAGAATGAGGCAGCTCTCGGTATCAGCACCTCCATGTTACTGGGTTGGACGCATAAAGCAAAGTTCAGAACAGCGTGTCTAGCCTGCACCGTTGGTGGTAAAAATAAGAAATGCACAGAACTTCCTTGCAGGTGTAACAAACTGTCTCTTTCCAGAGACCAGAGAAACACAACAGAGGGCTTGCTGGCTGCCTCCTGGGAGGGAAGCAGGGGGGAGAAGCAAAATTTTTCTCCTTCCACTTTTTTTTTTAACATCTTGATTGAGATGCAATTCACATAACTTATTATTCTTCCCTTTGAAGTGTCCAAACCCATGGCTTTCCATGCATTCATAGAATTGTACAGCCATCACCACTGTCAGTGTTAGAACACTTTAATGCCTTCCCTCCCCCACCATAAAGAAGAAGGCTGAGCACTGAAGAATTGATGCTTTCAAACTGTGGTGCTGGAGAAGACTCGAGAGTCCCTTGGACAGCAAGGAGATCAAACCAGTCAATCCTAAAGGAAACCAACCCTGAATATTCATTGGAAGGACTGATGTTGAAGCTGAAGCTCCGATACTTGGGCCACCTGATGTGAAGAGCTGACTCTTTGGAAAAGACTCTGATGCTGGGAAAGATAGAAGGCAGAAGGAGAAGGGGTAGATAGAGGATGAGATGGTTGTATGGCATCACCGACTCAATGGACATGGGTTTGAGCAAGATCCGGAAGATAGTGAAGGACAGGGAAGCCTGGCGTGCAGCAGTCTATGGCGTTGCAAAGAGTCGGACACGATGGAGGGACTGAACGACAACCAAAGAAGTCTTGCATCCCTTACCTGTTACCCTCAAACCTCCCTTTCCCCTCCCCCAGCCACCACTACATTCACTCTCTGTCTCGGGGGATTTGTCTGTTCTGGACACTTCCTGTTTGAATAAATGGAATCAGACACTATGTGGCCTTTTTGTTTCTGGCTTATTTGAACATAGTGTTTTCAAGGTTCATCCAGGGACTTCCCTGGGGGTCCAGTGGTTAAGAGTCCACCTTCCAATGCAGGGGTATGGGTTCAATCCCTTGTCATGAAACTAAAGCCCCACCTGCCATGGGGTGCAGCTGAAAAATTTCTTTTTAAAGTTCACCCACACTGTAGTGTGTGTCGGTGCTTTCTTCCATTTTTAGGGTGAATTGTCTTTCTGTGGCATGGACGGACCATCTTTTGTATATCTCTTCATCACTCGAGGGACAGCGGGTTGTTTCCGTGTCTTGGCTATTAGGGACCATGCTGCTTCTAACGTAGGTGTCCACGTTTTTACGTGGATATGTTTTCATTGCTCTCAGGTAGCCATCTAGGAGTGGAATTGCTGGTGCAGATGGCAGTTCGACGTCTCACCTTTTGAGGGGCAATCAGACTTTCTTCCACAGCAGCCGCTCCACTTTACATTCCCACAGCCATGTACAAGGGTTTCGACTTTTCTACACCCTCTCTGTGTGCCTTTAGAATTTTGAAAGACGTGACCCATTGTCTCTTGGAACAAGCAGTCCCGTTGGGTACAGCACTTGTCCCCAAGACATCTCTCTCCTAACCGTCAAGTCCGAGGGAGTCTCCCTTTACCTTAGCCGCTTGTCATAGCCTCATAACGTACCTTAATCAGAAACCTGCCATTAAAGGACTTCCCTGGCGGTCTGGTGGTTGAGACTTCGCCTTCCAAAGCACAGGGTGCAGGTTTGATCCCTGGTCGGAAGCTAAGATCCCACATGTCTTGCAGCCAGAAAAAAAACAAACAAACAAAACATAAAACAGAAGCACTACTGTAACAAATTCAATAAACCTCTAAAAATAGTCCACATTTTAAAAAACAAGAACTTAAAAAATGTACCATTAAAAAAAAGTGTGCCATGTTTATATCTATCTTTCCAATCAGAGCAGGGACTAGACTGGTCTTCACTGCTGTGGGTTTTCCTTGAACTTGGCACCAAGTTGACAAAATGATACTGCTTGAATGAATGAATCCCCCCAAAGTTTCACATATGCCAAAGAAAGAGGGAGATCCGAAAAAACTCCCAGGTACGGAAGATCAATGTTGAGTTTGTAACCTGGCGTTCTTGGGATTCTGGGCTCTTGGGCCACCCCATCTGGCCTGGAATGGGAATCTCCCCTTGGCCACCACTGATGTCTCTCGGCACCTCCTTCAGGACCAGGCTTGGTCTTGAGTTAGGGTAGCCAGTCCTTTCACGCCTGTAGGGTCCTAACGCATCAACGAATTTTCGAATAAGACTGGAGGAGCTTAGAATGAAATGGCCTGCAATTAGCCTTCCAAGGGGAGAGAAAGCATGGGAAGTCTGAAGATAGGCAGGGGCCAGAGGCAGAGGGCAGCAGGTGAAGCTGAAGGGGTCAGGGGTCAGCCTGAGGCCTCTGTGACAAAGGATATTGGATCTAGAACACAGTCGTGCAAACCTTCGGTCATGATTCATTAGTGGGGTATGAAATCCATTTAGCAAGTTGCAAGGCATGTTTCTACAAAATAAAAGAGCAGATAAGCCCAAAATTTTAAAATGGTTTTTAAAAAAAATATCAACTTTGTAGTTTGCAAATGTTGTTTTCCGAAAACAGTACTGAAGGATACTGTTTTCCTATTTTATATTAAAACAACAATGTTTGCAACCCACAAAATACATTACCATATGGAAAATAGACAGCCATTGTGAGGTTTAATGTATGAAGCAGGGAATCCAAAGTCAGGGCTCTGTGACAACCCAGAGGGATCAGAGGGGGGAAGGTGGGAACAGAGTTCAAGAGGTGGGGGACATATGTACAACTGATGCTGATTCATGTTGGTGTATGGCAAAAACCATTACAATATTGTAAAGCAGTTGTCCTCTAATTTAAAAAAAATATTAAAAAGAAAACAATGCAGAGAACAAAATGAGTAGGATAGAAAATATTTTAAAAAATCCATTTGTTGGGCTGCCATTTATTTTTTAAAATGAAAGAATAAAAGAGGTAGGAAAACATAAAATTTTCTGGGTTGCAACAAACTTTGTTTTTATAAAATCAATGTGTAGGACTGAAAACAATAGTATTAAATAAGTAAAATAAGATAGAATGTGCCAGAAAAAATTAATTTGATGGCTTACAGCATTTTTGTTTTATATAAAACAAAACAATAGCATAGCATAAGTAGACTAGAAATACAAAAAAATCAGTTCAGAGGGTCCAATCAACACTTTTTTCAGCTGCACCATGCACTGTGTGGGACCGTAGCTCCCCGGTCAGGGATCGAACCCACATCCCCTGCAGTGAAAGCAGAGAATCTCAACCATTGCACCACCAGGGGGGTTTTTGTTTTCTCTGGATATATACCCAGGAGTGAATGACAGGGTCATATGGTAGCTCTGTTGTTAGCTTTTTGAGGACCCTCCATACTGGCTGCACCAATTTCCATTCCCACCAACAGTGTACAAGAGTTCCTTTTCTCCACATCCCCATCAGTGTTTGTTATTTATAGACTTTTGATGATGGCCATTCTGACGGGTGTGAAGTGCTATCTGACTGTGACTGTGATTTGCATTTCTCTGATGATCAGCAACATTGGGCATTTTTTCCTGTGCCTATTGGCCATCTGTATATCATCTCAACTCCTGGGTCAGGGAGATTCCCTGGAGAAGGGATGGGCTACCTTCTCAAATATTCCTGGGCTTCCCTGGTGGCTCAAAGGGTAAAGAATCCACCTGCAATGTGGAAGATCTGAGTTCGATCCCTGATTTTGGAAGATCCCCTGGAGGAGGGCCTGGCAACCCGTTCCAGTATTCCTGCCTGGAAGACCCCATGTACAGAGGAGCATGGTGGGCTGCAGTCCAAGGGGGTGCAGAGCAACTTTTTCTGGTATGTAAGTCCCAGAAGTGTCTTCACCGTGCTCCTTCTAGCTCTTTTATGATATCAAAGACATAGCAACAACATAAATGTCCATCATGGAGGGGGGATGAGTGAATAAGCTATTTTGCAGCACACTTCACTGTTGTTGTGAAAATGAATGAATCAGAATGACAGCCACCAACGTGCATGCCTTTCAAAACACAGAATGTTAAGCTAGGAAGGCAAGTTGCTGGAAAACATATGAGGATTGATTTATACAAAGCATTCAAATACGTAAAACCGTACTGTACAATTCAACCACAAATAAATGTATTCCTAAACAATGCAAACATCTGCATGAGAATAACAAATGCCACACAGACACACAAACACACATGCATACACATGTGTTTGTAAAAGTATCAAGTTCGTCTAGAAGACACAGGAAGCCAGCAAAACTGGAGAGTAACTCATTGTAAGCACATACCACATCACATCAAATCTCTTTAATTTTATTTATTTTTAATTAAAAAATTTTTTTGTCACACTGCAAGGCTTGCAAGATCTTAGTTCCCTGACCAGAGATGGAACCTGGGCCCTGGCAGTGAAAGTCCTGAGTCCTAGCCATTGGACCGCCAGGGAATTCCCTCAAATCTGTTAAAGTAGTATCCACTAATAAAAACTAAAGTGTTATCCAAAGGGTTCATCGCTCAGTCAGGTTCCACTCTTTGCGACCCCATGAACTGTAGCCCCCCAGGCTCCTCTGTCCATAGAATTCTCCAGGCAAGAGGACTGGAGTGAGTTGCGGTTTCCTCCTCCACGGGATCTTCCCAACCCAAGGATTGAACCTGGGTCTCTTGTAGGTGGATTCTTTACCATCTGAGCCACCAGGGAAGCCCTAAGAAAGAATAAAATGTTACCCAAACCACACATTAAATATAATGCATATATGACTTTGTGTGCAATCCAGCAGCTAACCAGTTGATATAAAGACTGCCTTTTAAAGTTTTTATTTAAACATGTTACATAATTTCAGTTCTACAGTTTTCATGATACAGAGCCCATATTTTCTCCTAAAGTCTGAACTACTTGAGTAAGCCCTAGGTCTTGGTCTATAAGACATTCCCTGTCTTCCAGAAAACTAGAGTTCAGGGACGTCAAGGCACTGGTTCAAGGTCACACAACAAGTGAGTTATGGATGTAGAGATAAAATCAAGGGCTTATGAATTTCTTAGGTTTATGTTACAGACAGGGAAATTGACACTCAGAATGGAAAAGGGATTTGATTGTTTATTTTTCTTAATTGAAGAAGAGGAACTAAAAAGCCTCTTGATGAAAGTGAAAGAGGAGAGTGAAAAGTTGGCTTAAAGCTCAACATTCAGAAAACTAAGATNGTCGCAAAGAGTCAGACATGACTGAGTGGCTGAACTGAACTGAACTGAACTGAACTGATAGTTGATTTACAATGGTGTGCCAATTTCCGCTGTACAGCAAAATGACTTAGTTATACACACATATTGTTGTTGTTTAGTTGTTAAGTCGTGTCTGTCTCTTTGTTACCCCATGGACTGTAGCCCTCCAGGCCCCTCTGTCCATGGGATTTCCCTGGCAACAACACTGGAGTGGGTTGACATTTCCTTCTCCAGGGGACCTTCCTGACCCAGGGATCAAAACCCGGTCTCCTCCATTAGCAGGTGAATTCTTTACCACTGAGCCACCAGGGAAGTCCATACATATACATACTTTCTTTCTTTAAATATTCTTTTCCATTATGGCTTATCACAGGATATTGAATATATTCCCTGTTCTATCCATTAGGACCTTGTTGTTTATCCATTCTAAATTTAATAGTTTTTATCTACCAAACTCAAACTTCTAATCCATTCCTCCCCCTCCCCCTTGGCAACCACAAGTCTTCTCTATGTCCATGAATCTGTTCCTGTTTTGTAGATAGGTTCATTTGTGCTGTATTTTAGATTCCACGTATAAGTGATATCACTTGGTATTCGTCTTCCTCTTTCTGACATGCTTCACTTAGTATGGTAATCTTTAATTGCATGCTTATTGTTGCAAATGGTCTTTATTTTCTCCTTTTTTATTGCTGAGTAATATTCCACCATGTATATGTTCCACATCTCCTTTGTCCATTCATTGATCCATGGCCATCTAGGTTGTTTCCATGTCTTGGCTGTTGTAAACAGTGTTGCTATGAACGTAGAGGTGCATGTATCTTTTTGAATTGGAGTTTTGTCCCCATATATTCCCAAGAGTGGGATTGCTAGTTATTCTATTTTTAGTTTTCTGAGGAACCTCCATACTGTTTTCCCATAGTGGCTGCACCAGTTAACATTTCCACCAACAACGTAGGAGGGTTCAAAGGGCTTTGGAGAGTCCCGAAGGCTCAAGACCAGGTGGACTGTTAAGTGAGCAAGCAGACGTTGTGGCCTCAAGCCCTCACAGTTGTCCCTCCCCGCCCCCACTTCTTCTAGAACCCTCTGTTCGTGGAGGCTGAGAAGAAGGTGTCTTACAGCTGCTGCAGCCAGGGCACCATCTGCCTGCAGATCCAGATGGAAAAGAACACCTTTACGCCGGGGGAGAGGGTCATCTTCACCACGGAAATCAACAACCAGACCAGCAAGTGCATTAAGACGGTCATCTTCGCCCTCTACGCCCATGTGCACTACAAGGGCTTCACGCCCAACGCGGAGCGCCGTTCCAGGGTGGATAGCAGTGAGCTGCTCAGGCAGGAGGCCAACACCCCCATCACGGCCTTCAACACCACCAAGATCGTCAGCACTTTCCACCTCCCGCCCGTGCTGTCCGTGAGCGGTGGCGGCTCACAGGACACCGAGATCATGAACACCCAGTACGAGCTGGTCAGCACCGTCCACCTGCCCTGGTCCCTGACCAGCGTCAAGGCCAAGGTGCCCATCATTATCACCAGCAACCCCGTGGACTCAAACCAGACCGCTGCGGGCTGCCAGACCAGGGCGGTGTTACCCCTGAGCCCAGACTGACAGAATTAAATGCCCAAACGTCTAAATATTAAAAGTTTTATCAGACTCTAAGGCAGAGCTTTCCTTCACCTCGCACAAATGGCCTTTGGATGAGTCTGCCTATGGGCAGCATGTGACCCAAACCTCACCAAGCTCCAGCTGTGCAGGCATCCACTTCTCCCATCCCAGGAAAGATCTGTAAATGACAGGAGAGGCCAAAGCCTTCCAGCCTGACAAAACCTTCCAGGACTTGGCCCAGTTAGCACCCCAGACCCATCTCCTTGCTTACTCTTACACTACCTAGATGAGGGATCCCCCACTGGGAGTAACCCTGCCCTCTAGAGGATATTGGCAAAATCTGGTTATATTGGTTGTCCTGGCATCCACTGGGTGGGGGCCAGGGATGCTGCTCCACAGTGCCCAGGACAGCCCCCCACGGAGGATGTGTGTAGTCGCTCAGTCGTGTCCAACTCTTTGCAATCCTATGAACTGTAGCCCGTGAGGCTCCTCTGCCCACAGAATCCTCCAGGTAAGAATACTGATCTGCCTATGGGCAGCATGTGACCCAAACCTCACCAAGCTCCAGCTGTGCAGGCATCCACTTCTCCCATCCCAGGAAAGATCTGTAAATGACAGGAGAGGCCAAAGCCTTCCAGCCTGACAAAACCTTCCAGGACTTGGCCCAGTTAGCACCCCAGACCCATCTCCTTGCTTACTCTTACACTACCTAGATGAGGGATCCCCCACTGGGAGTAACCCTGCCCTCTAGAGGATATTGGCAAAATCTGGTTATATTGGTTGTCCTGGCATCCACTGGGTGGGGGCCAGGGATGCTGCTCCATAGTGCCCAGGACAGCCCCCCACGGAGGATGTGTGTAGTCGCTCAGTCGTGTCCAACTCTTTGCAATCCTATGAACTGTAGCCCGTGAGGCTCCTCTGCCCACAGAATCCTCCAGGTAAGAATACTGAAGTGGATTGCCTTTCCCTTCTCCAGAGGATCTTCCCAACCCAGGGATCAAACCTGGGTCTCCCCAGGTTTGCAGGTAGATTCTTTACCATCTGAGCCACCATGGAAGCCCATAGCGGATGACCCAGCTCCAAACATCAGCAGTGCCGAGAGACAGAGACCCAGGCTGGGGCCGTGCCTGGGGACAGATGGTTGCTGAGTCCACAGGTTGGGTCTGTGAGCCTCTTACCCCTGTCACATCCCTCCTCTCCTCGCAGCTGCTCCCCTGGGGCTTCCCCAGATCACACAGGGTAAAAGCTCAAGTCTTCTAGGTTCATCCACCCACATCTCATCCATCACCAAACCACCGAGGCACTTCTCCAACTCCCCCTCCCCAGACCCCCTATTTCTCTCCCCTCCTCTGCCTCCCATCCTTCACTTGGGCCACCCACACCTGGGTCTCACGACTCCCTCACATTCTGTCTTTCCTGAGAATAAAAATCAAGGACATCGGGGTTAATTAAACTTGAATTTCAGAAGAATAATTGTTTCAGCATAAGTATGTTCCCCACCATATTTGGGGTCTCCTGATGCTTTTTAAAAATCATTCGTGAATCATTCGTCATGTATCTGATATGCCAGTTCAACTGAGCATCCTGAATTTTATCTGGGATGGGATTACCCAAGCAACTAAGACACTGCATACAAATCAGGCCATGAAAATCTTTAAAGGTCTGATGGCGCTGGTGGTAAAGAACCCTCCAGAGACGTAAGAGTCAAGTTCGATCCCTGGGTCAGGAAGATCCCCTTGGAGGAGGAAATGGTAACCCACTCCAGTATTCTTGCCTGGGAAGTCCCGTGGACAGAAGAGCCTGCCAGGCTGCAGTCCATGGGCTCGCAAAGCACAGGCCAGGTCCCTCGCAGTCAGGTATGAAGGAATGGGCCAGACTGCTTCTTCTGGGCTAAGGACTCTGAAATATTTCTCCCGGAGCACCCACAGGCTAGGAAATAGCCACACCTGCCCCACCCTTGCCTCAGGCCCTCGGTCAGCAGACAGGAGGAGTAGACACTTGAATGGCCAGCCTGCGGCAACTCATTCGGAGATGCTGTTTTAGATCTAACTCTCTCTCTTTTTTTTTTTTAGATCTAACTCTTTTGAGGAGCGGCGATGCAGATAGAATGCACAGATTTCATTCTTTTCTGATTCTGTCTTTACAATTTTTTTTCATGGGAGAGAGCTCTCATTTTCATACACTTTTTAAAAAGAAATATTTACTTATTTGGGTGCTCCAGGTCCCAGTTGCAGCATGTGAACTCTTAGTTACAGCATGTGAGATCTAGTTCCCCGACTAGGGATTGAACCCGGGATCCCTGCATTGGGAACGTGGAGTCTTAGCCACTGGACTACCAGGGAAGTCCCTTGAGGCACTTTTAAAAGCAGTCTCCAAAAGAGCTTGAGTAGCGGTCCTAGCTCCCTGGAGGGGGGATCACTGCTGGGTCAGGATGGGGATATGATCTACTGATCTACCCTGCTGATTTGGGTATGTGATCTACACTTTGCATTGGATAAAGGGATCCAAGTCTAGGGTGGCATCCTCCAGCTTCCCCCAAAATCAAAAAGGCTTATTTTAGGGATGAGTGGGATGATCTTGTTTGCTTTCGTGTCCTTGGCCCTGACCTGAGCATCCTTTGGGCTCTGAAGGCCAGGTCTGGGCCATCCCCACATCCCCACAACTAGATCTAGAAAGACTGGATCTTCAAAGTTCTTCAAAGCTGCAGAGCCAATGCCTCCTCCTCCTGGAAGCCTTCCAGTCATGCCTCTTGCCCTCCACTGGGTTCCCCCATTGCAGTTTCTTCCTCCATCTGGTCCTGACCACTGCAAAGGCCTTTGCCGAGCTTCATCCCATGTGTGGGGGAAATTAAGGTGGGGGTACCACAGCAGAGTCCTCCTCAGGGCCCCCTGCACTGTGCCAATCCGCAAAAGGTAGTTAAATATATAACAAGTGGTTGTTAATATATAGTAAGTCTTTGGGACTCCATTCATCCTGGATAGTGGGACGAAACATTTTAAGAATGCCAGAGATGGATCATAAGATAGCTGGTGAGTGCCCTTCACAGCTGGGGTTTCATTAGACTGGAGGAGGGTGCCAGTGAATCGGGGGACAGGGGCTCAGATTCTTTCCCATCTCACTGTATTATCCTTGCATGTGTGTGTGCTAAGTCACTTCAGTCGTGCCCAATGTATTGCAACCCCATGGACTGTAGCCCACCAGGCTCCGCTGTCCATGAGGATTCTGCAGGCAAGAATACTGGAGTCGGTTGTCATTCCCTGCTCCAGGGGATCTTCCTGACCCAAGGACCGAACCCCTATCTCTTATGTCTCCTGCACTGGCACTCAGGTTATTTACCACTAGTGCCAACTGGGAAGCCCACACTATGCTTACTTCATTCTATTTGGGACAACGGACTTCTCTCTGGGCCTCAGTTTCCCCATCTGTAAAATGGGAGGAACAATAGTGTTCACCCCTAGAGTTTGGAGAAGATGAAAAGGGCCAGGATATGGGCCCCTCCCTGTAGGGAGAACCAGAACACAGCAAGTGCCGGCTGGATGTCAGTTAGGAGTTTTAGGATTTATTTCCCTTCCATGGGCTTCTCCAACTCCAACAGCTCACCAATCAGGTCTCAGTGACCTCCAGGTCATTGGACTAATGGCCACCTCACTTCCTGATCCTACTTTTACTGTCTTAGGCTTTTTACTTGGAAAAATTCCAATTCCTATGGAAAAGGCTTGAAAGAATGATGCAAAGAATCACCCACCTCGAGCCTCTAGGTGTTGATTTGGGCCGAATTTACTCGTTTCCTCTTTCCCAGATTGTTTCGCAGTAAACTGTAGCATCACGGTGCTGGGTGATGCATTTCATCCTGTAGTTTTACCAATCTTCACCATTTTTATTTTACTTTTTAAAAAATGTATTTATTTATTTGGTTGTACCGAGTCTTCACTGTGGCATGAGGGATCTTCAGTTGCAGTATGCGAGCTCTTAGTTGTGGCATGTGGGATCTAGTTCCCAGGCCAGGTTTGGAACCTGGGCCCCTTAATTGGGAGCATGGAGTTTTAGCTGCTGGACCACCAGGGAAGTCCCCTCATCATTTTCACATGTACAGTTTCAGCGACACTAAGCATGTTCACATTATTGCGGAACCATCCCCACCATCCAGAGCTTTGCCACCTTCCCAAACTGAAACTCTGTCCCCATTAACCATCAATTCCCCATTCCTTTCATCCCCATCCTCGCTTTTTTAAAAAGGCTGAATAATATTCCATCACCCATGTATTTCACATTCTTTTTTTCTCCATTCATCCATTGGTGGGCATTTGTTTCCATCTTTGGGCTACTATGAAAAATGCTGCAATTTCCTTGGTGGTCTAGTGGCTAAGACTCTGTGCTTCCAATGCAGGCGGTTCAGGTTTGATCTCTGGTCAGGGAACTAGATCCCACATGGGACAACTAAGAGCCCTCATGCCATGATAAATATCCTGTACTCTGCAATGAAGATCCCGTGTGCTGCGACTAAGACCCATTGCAGCCAGAGCAATAGCAACAGCAAAACAGAACTATTCAGGTTGTGCATTTTGAGCAGTGAGATTGCAGAGAAGGTATCGAGCAGCACGTAATGTTGGTCTGTCCCCTTATGGGTGATGATGTGGACCTTGATCACTTCCTTCTGGTGACACTCATGACAGGTGCCTTTTCTCCTTTGTAACTGACAAGCATTCCTGTGGAAGATAATCCTAGATTATGCAACCACCTTGCCTCTTATAAGTTTTCACCCAGTGTTTTTTTTATATCCGGGGATGCTCCAGCTTGAATCAGTTACTACACTCGTGGTTGCAAAATGGTAATTTTTCTAATCCTGAGGACTCCTATAGGATTTCCCTGGTGGTCCAGTGGTTGAGAATCCAGCTGCCAGTGTAGGGAACGTGGGTTCGATCCCTGGTCTGGGAGGATTCCACATGTCTTGGGGCAACCAAGCCCATGAGCTGGAGCTTCTGAGCCTGCGCTCTGGAGCCTGTGCTCTGCAACAGGAGAAGCCGCCGCAATGAGGAGTCGGTGAATGTCAACTA